CTTATTGTGGCCTTACCTTACCTCATCCAAAATAGTCAGTTATCCTGAGCTATTTTCTCTATTTGTGCTGCTATATGTTTAGGCTGCTGGATCACCTAGGGACCCCTTTTCCTCCTCCTGCTTCATTCTATCTCTATTCTCCTACTCTGCACTATTTGTCAAGTTCCAGTCATAACTTTGTTTTCTTTTGTATTTCTGATCGCAGTAGCTTCTGTTTGACTATGGCTTCATCCTGTATTGAAATATCAGCTGTGCTGATGCCAATGACATTGCTCTCTTAAATGTTGCAGCTTGGTCTGTGTGTAGTCCTGTTTCTTTTACTGTGACTGGTAGAGTTGGCTCAGAGCTGGTCTGCCTGGCTGTGAATTTCCAGGATGGGGCCACCTGTGGAGCGAGTTAACAGTTGCCGTTTGTATCTCTGCTTCTTTCTGTATCTCTGCTTCTGTCTCCTTGAACCCCATTCGGCCTCGGCAGATGTCCGCTAACACTGAGCCCGGTTCTGTTGGAGGTTTCTCCCTGTTAAAAGGGAGTTTTCCTCTCCACTGTCACTACAAGCTTGCTTGGTGTGAGGGGCTGCAGAAGAGTCCATGACAAAATTCAAGTGAAGGTCGTCTCCTCAGGCTCATCCAGAAGGAGCATGTCTTCCAAATAAATGACAGGAAACAATCAACTGGTTTTTATAACCATTCTGACAGTATTGTCTTTGTAAAGTGATGTGAGACGATGTGTTGTGAATTGCAGCTATATAAATAAACTGAAGTAATGTTAAATCTACGCCTAATGGTACATGGCCTGTACTTATATAGGTATATTATATATTTTTGAAACTCAGGAGACACAATGTCTTGGAGACAACGACACTGAAAGCCAGGGCTGGATTTGAACCGTCAACTCTTCAATTTCAGGGCAAATTTCTACATCTGACGTCACTGTCGCCCCATCAGCTGGGGACTAATGAACTAATGAACTGATATTAAATAAATATAAATATAATTCCGGGTTTTGAGACGTTCCTCTTTTTATTGACGTTTTATTCGTCCAAACTTTTTCAGTTAAGGAGAGCAGCCATGACCCAATGCTTCAAGAGATGTTACTATGATATTTTAAAACCTACCCACCATTTTCTCCCATCTTCTTTGGTCTTAATGATGCTGGTTGTTCACTTTTGCTCTCTCTGAAGCCATCACAGAACTTCTACATTTCGATTGATTGTAATCTTATCAGAGGTTGGTTATTTATGAAGTAGAAAGCTTCTACACATGTATCAGATACAAATGCAGGCCACACTTTTCAGGGTTATACTCGTGAAAGGTTGACAGCCATGCATCCTTTTCCTTCTTCATAATTTTGCTTAAAATTGTGTGAATCTATCACTTAAAATCCTAATAATATCGTGAACACTGCAAAGGTCTATGCCTACTTCTGTATGCTGATGACACGATACTAACAATATTAAACAGCAATATCCCAAAACAGGTTTTTCCTAAAACATTTGTAGACATTGAGTGTTTTCTCCCAGTAAAACCTGAACGCTGCAGCTCCTCTTACCATTAGCGGCCTTTTTCTAAAGGATCATCTTTGTTCTCCTTCACAGGAGCAGGTGAGAAAACCGAAACATTAAAGTCTCCTCTCATACTGCGTTAGTCAGATGAGCTCACATCCTGTCTCACTGGTAAACAGAGTGGGAGAATGTTGTGTTAGTTGATGCGGCCAATTAATTATATTGTAAGTCATTTATAAGTCTATAAAGGAAGTATAAACTGGTTTAGGCTGTTTGAGAAATTGTAAGTATGGTATTAAAAAATGCAATACGTGTATTTCAATCGCCCTAAGCGGTGTTATATTGGAGTCTTTTTAAAAAAGGAGCTGTGTCTTAAAAAGGAGTAAAGCGTAAATTATGCATATCATTTCCCCCCCCTTTCCATTCCTCTTCTTCATTTTTTTTTTCTTGCTGGAAAACATGGCCGCAGTCTACACATGCTTTGTCCCACAAGCTGTGCTCACCTCCCTGGAGGTGGTCTCTCACACCAACAGGGGTGTATGCTGATGGGGGGGTGGCGAGGTGTCAAATTGCCTGGGAGAGGGTCTCTCTGGGTGCTGGAGGGGTGAAGGCTCCTCTGTGTTTTAGTCTGTTTGTGGCTGGAGGCTCTGAAGTGTGTTATATTGAACCCGTGGTGTGAGACTCAGATCTCAGTGCTTTACGCAAGTGTAAAAGTACTTTTCAGAGTATCTCAACAACAGAACAAGCTTTTTCCACAAAATACTGCTGAAGACTGCTAGCTGCCTATTTAGGGACAAATATATAAGGATTGTGACTAAACAGACGCATTTATATGTCACATAAATACTTCCTTTTTCTAAGAAATGCACACATCAGTAAAAAGAAAAAACTAAAGAAATCAAACAGCAAGTCTTAATTGTGCATGAAGTATAGAATATGCAGCTTTCCTTTTTTGCTGTTTTTCTGTTTGGGAAGCAACATTAATACTTTCCATTGACTCCAATGTCGATGCATGATTTAATAAGCATCTGATACAGAATGAAAAAGAATATTTTATTTTTTTTGACAATCCATCCAATCTCAAAATGTTCAGCCCCTGACCCCAAATATAACAGCCACTGATTGGCCACCCACTGAATACACATAAAATTATTTCCCTCTGTATATTAAATATAGACTGAAGAGACTATATTCATTTTTAAACACATTTGTTCTTACAAATTACATTTTAATTGTATTCTGAAATATCTAATGGGATATTCAATAATTTAATTGTGAAATTCTTAATTTAAAGGTAATATTTACTGTATTATTTGAATCAATTAGATACATTTTACCATCTAAAATGTAATATATAAATATTTCAGGGTACATTTTTTTATGGTAAATCTCATATATTTTATGATGGGAAACATATCTTGCAATCCCTTAATTAGTGTTTCCGAACCACACTATGGAATCTAGGAAAGATGCTACAGTATATCATACCATCATCCATAAATTAGTCTGTGAAGTAACACGTTTAAAGGACTGATTCGATTTTATAACTTCGATTATCATAGAGACACTCTTTGCATTAGGGGTGGAACGGTTCACAAAATCCAGGAGTCGGTTCGGTTCACGGTTTCGTGTTCACGGTTTTTGGTTCGGTTCGGTATATGTTGATTGTTAGGAAAATCTACTATGCCTTGTAAAGTACAACGCTATGTATAAACCCTGTGAACGTTTCATTTAATATGACATATTTAAAAAAAAAATCCCCATCATCAACCAGCAGATGTTCAGTTTCTACCTAAATATTTTCTTTCTGTTGTGGATTTTTGTAACAGGAATAACTAGGATCATACATAGTTTGTATGAACTCTGTTTGTTCTCTGCTACCAAACTCATCATCTATTCATCCATTCCTGCAATAAGAATTTTCTTTTAAAGTTATGAGATGCACTCTAGAATCTCACAACTTCTTCCTGGTCTGTTGAAGCACCAATAGTCTGCATCCAATTATTTAATTAATTGCTCTTAGTTTTTGGGAATATATACAAACTATGCTCTAATTTCTAGATACCGATCTGTTTTTACTATATTTAATTTGGAAAAAACGGGTCTTCTCTACATTCTTTTTCCTGTTTGGTGCGATTGCAATTGCAGGTCTTGATCTGGATTGACCGGAGCGGAGCAAAAAATAGCTTAGTTCCATTTTTTGACGGTGAAAGACGGAGAAGACGTACGAGGACAGAGAAGTAGCGGAGGATGTGGAACAGCTCTCAATGATTTACATGACAGACAAATACTCCACACGACGTACGTGAGCAGAGCGGAGCACTGACGGAGTATGTGGAATCTGGTAGAAAAGGAGGACAAATACACGTCCGGCTGAATTCGGTGCAGGGCGCCGGACAGTGCAATGACAATCCGGACTTTCCGCACTAAAGCCGGACATCTGGCCACCCTACTTCCAACTCCTGTTCTTTCCC